GATAATCTCAAGTGTAGATGCAACCCCAAAAGTGAAGAAAGATACATTCCTGCACTGAAACATTTATAATACAAACCTGAGATGACATACAAGTGCAAGTATTAATTGATGAAAAGATGCAAGAAAGATAGGAAATACATAACTATTTACTTAGTCTGTCCTTTAATGCCTCGGTATTTCATTGGTTTCATTTTTAAGGGAACATTTAACAAAGAAATAGTGAAAGTGGATAGACTCTTTCTTGAATTGACACCTTTTTGGGATATATCCTTTATTTACTTTTTCACTTGAATTAAATAGTTTCTTCTATATACCAGCCATCTTGTATATGAAAGAAGTGTATCCAGCATTGAGGATATTAGCAAATAAAACTTCTTTGAACCACAGAAACTTGCTACTTCCTGACCTCTTCTCCATGGATTTATGGAACGGTTTTAACCATAACCCTAAAAATAACAGCCTTGCACCTCTTTTTTTAAAAAATGGTTAGCCTCTTGCCTTTGGTTTTTATTCTCCTACACTAAACATAATAGTTCTCTCAAATTTATTACAACGGAGATTGTCCAAGTTGTTTTGTTTTTTTTTACTCGTGCTATTTTACTCTGGACTGTAGAAAGGAATAGCCAAGTGGGTGAAGTGTGATGCCACTGTGAAAACGATTGTTGCCGTCAATCCCAGAACCTCACACTGACCTTGGACTGGCTCATCACCGTACTCGGCAGGAGTAAATTATAAGTCAGTAAACAGAAACTTACTGCATTTGTACAATGAGTAATGGCTTATTCTTGTTTTTAATATAGCGTGTTAGGACAGTGAAGCTATACGAAATTGTTTCCCCAGTTGTTTGGTCCACTTTAACATTTTCCAGTGTTTTTATTAAATGATCAGTAAGAGAATGTGCTCCTGACTCCTGACAATTCAGGGCATTTCAAGCATGACTCACTCTTCAGTATCAAGTTTTGATTATTGTCACAGCTACGCAGTTCATCACTGCCCTCGGTGCCTTTGTAATCATCACTTTCCAGGCCTGGGGGTAGAATCAGACTCTCAGAAGAGGCCCTGGGCTGTAATCCCCTGGTACTAACCAGAATTATCTCAGTAAATTTAACTTAACTTCCTACCATGTAGCTCTATTTTAACCCAAAGCAATGACAACAGTACCTGTTTGTAATCAATGGAATTAAAGCCAGTCTGATTTATTTAGAATTTAAACCATTGAGACAAAGTACAAAACTTACTTATGTATTTAGATGACCTTACTTGAGGCTTACCTTTCCCTGCATTTGGTTCACTAAGGTACAGGCGATAAAAAACTAATTAATACGCTTCTCGGTCCCTTGTAAGTTGTTACAATGTACCTCAGAGAGACAGATATTATATCTTATGGCGATGTTGTACAATATTGAAGGTACAATGTTGTAGCAAAGTATCCTTGGGATATTTAGTACGGCTCCATGTCATCACAACTGATTTCTATCTAGAATGCAAACCCTGTGGCTCCTTGAGTGGCCTAGACTCAAACTTAGTGAAACGTGCTGTTTAAGTTGTTTAATTATCAAAAGAAAAGAGTTGTTGAAATTATCAAAGAAAAAAGGTAGGGTTTTTTGGGGGGAAGAGGAGTCCAACTTTCTGCCTCGGGGGGCCAAGATATATAGAGAAGTACATGTAAGATTGCTATACATGTACTTGCCAGAATATCTCATGTCTTTTTGTGATCACATGAAATTCAAAGAGCTATTACGGGTACAGCTATATAAACCAAATTAGACAAACCATGTCCTGGGTTTTTTTCACTATAGTAGCTTGTCAGGTATAGCATATAGTCTTGCACTGCATGACCTTCAATTAAACATGCAGTCATCTATCCCTTAGAGAGTCCAATTCTGACACATACTCCCGTTGCCTTCCTGAAAACCTGACATTTGCCTACAAGGCATTCAATGCGGAGTTCAGAACCAAATGGCTGAGTTTCCAAGCTTTCCACAGAGAACTTTTTATAACCTGGACTGCCTGTTTTCTTAAAAATGAAAGTGGTTTGCTCATCAAGTAAATTCATCAAGTTTACACAGCATGCCTTTTGAACTGAGTTTGCATTTCCTTGAAAAAAAAATGTTAACTAAGAAAAGGATCTGTAATCTCAGCACTTCTATAACTCCTGATTAACCTCAAAAACATTCGCCCATGCTTTTTTTTAAAAAACACAAAACCTAAAATTGAGATTCTTTTTCTTCTATCAGAAGAGATTTTATCATTATAAGCCACTGAATGTCATCAGATAACCCTTTTTGTTGTCTTGACAAAGAGCTAACTCTAAATTGTGGTAAATGAGGTAAGAAAGTACTTGTAACTATAGCTGGGGATCTTCTTGCCCTTTGGAAGAGAAAAATCTGAGCAGTCTTAGAGAAGGAAGATTACCTTCTGCTAATTCCAGATTTGGATATTGAGGCCATGAGTAAAGCTGATGCTCTGTGTATGCTAAGAATATCTGTGTTCTTTTGAAGGTTAATATTAACACTTTGACTGTTATCTATATATGCTTCCAAGATTTGAAACCCTCAAATTAACAATGAGCAACAAGATAAATTTGGCAAGAAATTTAAGACAATATAAATCTCCATGCACTGACCACCAAAACAGCTCAGTCTGTTTTAACTTTGAAAATGGTAATGAGTCCTAATTTATCATTGGTGCTTAAGCAGAACCTTAGTTGAAGTCGCTGAGGCATTCTGCTTAATTGCCAAAGGCATATGGTAAAGTATGACTAAAACTATTTTGCTCTAATGCTAATGAGTTTAGAAATTCAGGAACAACTGTTGAAAAAATAGTGAATACAAATGCTTAATAATGAGCAAGGGTATGATGTCATTTCAATTACTGCAATAAAGAACATGCCTTTCAAGAGAAGCAAATGTCAAGTGATCAGCATGCCGTTTGTTGAATGAAATTATGCTGGTGAGCACTGTAGAAAAGCTTTTCTGTAAACCTGTTAATCCATTTGAAATTTACTTCCTTCATGGTAAAGATGAGTTATTGACATGCTGATACAAACAATGTCTCTGTAAGCAGTCCTAACCCTGCAGTTGATATTTCTGAAAACTAATCATCATTTCCATTTTTATTTCCAATTTGCTCACTTCTGTTTTAATACTGAAAGGCAAAGCAATATTATTGTACAATTCTTTATATTTTCATAGTTTTGCAAGTAAATTAAACCCTATAGCAATTCCCTGTGAGTAAGAAGTAAATGTTGTTGTCCCCTTTGGATACTTAACGAAAGTCGTAAGATATGTAGAACGATTTGCTGAAGCCACACAATGAGTCAGTGTTATATCCAATATTACAGATTAAGATCATTGCTCTGAGCAACTGCAGAGCGTTGCTTAGACCAGGAGATCGATACATGCTGAACTGTGCTATTTTTAGTGGAGAGTTCACTCTTCCTTCATTTTCTGCCTCATCGCTGCGTATACCATCTTCCATACACTATGCTATTAGACCAGTAATACATTCACAGATGTCCTTAGAAGCTTTTTTCTGCTCTAGTGCAAGTGGGAAAGAAATACACTGAATAGTTTTCTTGTTTTAATCTGCAAAAACCTCACCCCTATGCTATAGTATGTGTTGTTTACTAATGCCTGTCTTGAAGTCTTTGAAAGAGGTTTTTGTCATGAGATGATTCATTAACCAGGAACATAATTGTTAACAAATTGTATGTTGCAATGTCAAAAATGAAAAAAGAGCTGCTTCTAGAAAACACTTGCGTGCAATATACTAGGAAATTAATGGCATAGTAAATAATTTAGTCACCGAGAAAGGCAATATTTAAGAATGCATCCCAATCATTACAGATTACATTAATAGGGCTTTTTTCTTTGATTATATTTCCTTGTTGATGATGATAAGCTGATTCCTGATTTTCCATTTGCTGAACATTAAGAAGTGACTTTCCTCTCTATGTGTTAATTTCCTTTTTTTCTGTCTTTCAATTATATATTGTATAAACATCCAGTAATCTTATATAAAGAAAACTCTAAAGGTATTTTCCCCAAAATAAACTATAATATTTTCCTAATGAAACAAAGAATCTTATTTTTGATCAAGCTAATTAATTTTGGGACAAAGAAAAACATCCAATGTAAAATGCAAATACTGAAGTACTTTCAATTTACCAAGTCTTGTTTTAGAAACCTAAGATTCTGTATTAAAAAAATCAAAGGAAAATAATGTTGATATCGCAGCTCAACAAGCCTAAACATTTATATCACCAGTATCATGAATCTAGACTAGCAAATAACCAGCGGAATACTGTCATAGTCTGTTTTAGCTTTTTGAGAATACCATTTTAATACCACTTATTTCCTAATACAGGTTTTCACACAATTATCATCATAATTCTGTTTTATTTTATAGTATTTTGGCAATTCAGGCAAGTTCTTGAAATTAATAGAAGTAGCAATCAGAATAAATGCAATATGCTCCTTTACACAATGTCTCTGGAAATCATTCCACACAAATAGTTTGCAGATGCAGCTTCGAGAGAATTTGATTCCGCTTAAGGTGGAGACAGAGTTGGACATTCTCTGTTCTACGCAGACTCTTCTAAGAATTTTGTTTAGTCATTGCTAAAGTTAGCATATTAGTACGTATGCTTCACATTTTCTTGATGACATAAGGAAGACTGATGTCATGATTCTTCAATTTTCTAGGCAGCAGAATAAAATGCAATGAGTCTGATACTCCTCTAGGCAAACATCCTCCAGCAGATGTGAATAGAAGTCCAGAAGTACGTCTGCATTGCACATGAACTGGAACATCCTTCACTTAAAATTATTAACCACTGAACACATCTGAATCATGCTTTTAACAGCCTGAACAGTGTTCAATTTTTGAACTAAGCATTGCCTCTGACTTTTCCAAGTGTTAAAAATGTGTATGCCCTCACGTTTACACTAGATGTTCCTTTTAAGTATCTCTTCCTCATTTTTTTATTGTTCTATTAGATGGATGAATCGTTTGGGTCTCGCAGCAATTGGTTACACACCTGATGACAAGGATATTCATCCAGATGAAGGTAATGTTTCAGAGGTTATAATCAGGAGATGAGAGCGGAGAGTACATATCTCTTCATTATTTGAACAAAGTTGGAGATGTCATAACTGACTTATTGACATATGTGCCATATCTTTTAAAATATCAGTTTTCATAAGAGTCCATATCCTTGAAGAACTGTATTTATTGGTGCCACCACCAAAGAAAATAAAATCCTGAGTAATAATCTTAAGAAATATTTAAAACAAGTGATAAAGAGAATGCAAGGTTCAGGGTGAGGTATGATCTCCCAGATCACAGCCATTGGGTATGTTCATCGCCCTAGAGCAAGTGAAGACATCACAAACACAGGTCAACATGTGCTTTAGAACCATTTTCGCATCTCCTGAGCTCAGGTGCCAGCCTTGCCTTTTTCACCATCACCCATGGTGGAACCTGTTATGCTAACATAATTAAATTAATTATTGAGGCTCAGCTCTACTTTGGCATCTAGAATGATGCTTCTCTTTGAAAGTCTGTGACCAGAAGCTTTTTTTATGTACAGCGGGAGTTAGGTGCCTAGCCTGCTTTCTGTAAACACTATCCAAAACCATTTGAGGGTTCTTCTACCTGTCTGTGTATCTTAGGTGCCAGACATTGTCACTGTTCCTTAGTGACTGCCAAGCCACCTAGGTGACTGTGAATGTTCACCTTTGCATGATAATGATATTTTCAAAATGTGGGACCCGCTTTCTTGTGGAAAAGCACATGAGTGAAACCCGGAATGCTTTGTTAGCAGATTACTGGAGTGAAAGCGACCAGGATGACATCGACGGCTCTTTAACCCTGAAGCAGGAAGGCTCTTCAACACTGTGTGACACCTATCATCGAACACCCTCAGTGAGTTACAAATATTGCATTTGACAGTAGGTCAACAAAAAATATCTGTGTGCCTTGATTTTCATTTTCCTTGTTTTGGAATATTTAATTACCGTAAAGGCAGAACAAAGACGGATCTCATTGTAAGAATGAAATCACTGCTGTTCCTCATGAGCTAAGACCTGAATGTTTCCATAACAAGTCAATTATAAAGGAAGGAGAGGTAAATGTCTCCTTATACAGCTATGTCACCAGACTGTAAATATGACATTTTCTGTAGGATTTGGGAGATTATACCTAATAACATGAACGGAATATTCAAATGTTGACTTTACTGCAGAATATGAAAAGAATGTGGTGGATTGCATAGTCTGTATTAACTGAGACTGTTTTTTCACGTATGAATATTGGATACTGGATGCTAGAGATTAAGATCACATCACATTCATGCAGGAACCATGTTTTAGTATGAACACTTTTTTTAAGAACATATCTTTAGAGTTAAGGGGTTTTTTACAATATGAAGCATTGCGTACAATACCATAGTAGCGACAGTATTTTCTGTTAGTGTCATAAGAAGTTAAGTAGCTGATAAAAATACTTCTATTATATTGTATATAGACAGATTTTGATAACTGAGGGAAAAAAAAACATTTTGTATACAAACAGGCTCTCGTAGCAAATAAGAACATTTCTATCATACGGAACATAGACAGGCTGTGATAATTATTATATGTTTCTAAGCGCAGACAGGACTGTTCTCTATTTTTCTTTCAGATTTTTCTTCAGCGTGAATGACACGATCCTTACACAGCCAGAACCAAAGAAAGAGTGACTGAGACAACAGCATCACATGGGTGAAGTTCAGACTGATTTTCACCCATGCGATGCTGTTTTATCAACTGGGATACAGGTTAAGCCCCTCCCTTTCTGTTTTTCCACTTTTTTGCCTTTCTCTTTGTTTTTGAATTAAAATTATACACAGACCCAGCAGAATTAATTAAAATAATTTAAGAAGTTCAGCAGTCCCCCAAAATTCAAAAATCTTCCTCAGTGCTGAGGCGTTTTATTTTTCTGTTTGGCTGGATACTTATCTCCTAAAAAGAAAGGAAATCCAGTTATGGTTTCCTTTGGGGGCTTTCATGTCTTCACAGCACACTGCTGGACTGAGTGTAAATTGGACAGGTCTTCAGGAAACCTGTACCAGTATTATACTGTTCTCTCCAGCAGGAGTTGCTCATGGGCAGAGAATGTGCAAAACAAGAATAGGGAGTGGTTAAAACATAGCACTTGCATAAAAGATCTCACTGCTAGTTATGTTCTGTTTACAGAGGTTCATGTTATGACATATCAAAACACACACATCAGTCCATTTTACTAGTATGTATCTCATAATGTTCTACACTATAATAATTTTCTTGGATCTGTTCAAACCGTTGTCTTATAGTCAGATGCTTTTGTATCTTTTTAGGTGAATTCTTCAAGTCCATTCCCTGAAGCCAAACACGGTCGACACTTTTCAAGTGAATCAACATACTCTCATTCTTCTGCCGAGGATTCTCGACAAGATGTAGCAGGAAGCACACACTCATCAGGATGCAGACCTCCCTACCGAGAAAGACGCTCGTGGCAGGATCTGATAGAGACTCCGTTAACCAGTTCAGGGCTCCATTTTCTTCAGACTGTTCCTCCTGATGCAGAGTACATGAGTGGCCATCCTGGAATGTCACCGGACAAACGAAAACAAGCGACGCTACCAGTACAAAGACGCCATAATTATGAGCAGGATGGGCCTTTCCCTTTGGTGGAATGTCAAAGGGGACATAGCTCTCATAGCAGGCCACAGAAGCAACGTAGTCAAAGCCTTCCCCGAAACAGAGATGTCAGGGGTAAGGGACGTGTAAAATCCATAGAAGGAACAGATGACAAGCTAGAAGATAAAGTTCCTATTAGAAGGCATAACAGTTTCTGTGTAGAAGGTAAGCTTTTGGAGATATTCTGATCCTCTTTACTGCCATGGAATGCTAGAGCAATATTGCCATTATTCTCAGCAAGGTTTTTGTGGTTGAACTGTTACATGTTGGCAAATTCATCAGTCACTACCCAGGAGTTTGCACTACTTAAAATGCTTGGATGTAGTGCTAAGAATATCAAAATGTTCTTGTTTTATCAAAACAAAAATTGGAAGACTGTGTTATAGGGTTACTTTATACATGAATTTGCAGTATTGCTTGCTGGTTTTAGAGACTTCATCGGAATGATTAGATTTGTTGTTAGGTTTCTTTATCTATTTTCTTTCAGAAAACATAAAAGAAATTGGAGAAAATACAGATGGTCTGCAAGAGCTATACAAATCTCTGGAACAAGCTAGTTTGTCAGCTTTTGGAGAGCAGCGTCCTTCCACCAAGCAGGAGTTCCGCAAGTCTTTTGTAAAGCGATGTAATGATCCAGTTATCAATGAAAAGCTTCACCACATCAGAGTTCTCAAGAGCACTTTAAAAGTAAGGCTTTATCATTAATTTTGTGTATGAGCAATATAAACTAGTAAAAGTATAATCTCTTCATGTTTTCCATGGAGGAAGGAGGCTTTCTTTGTAGAATTAAGTTCCAAAGAAACTAAAAATACGTGAAAACAAACACATTCCAGCTTAAGGAAAAAAAAATTATTTGGCACTCTTTATAGGCATATTGTAGAAAGTGTTGTCAAACAGTTTAAGCTGTAATAGATGCTGCATAGAGGTAAAAGATTCAATTGTCTAGAGCAGTTTCCCTGGCACTTTGCATTAAAATGAAAGAAGAAATAAAGTGCCGAAATAAAAAGTGTGGCATAAATTTCATTTTGACATGTACTGTGTCTTTCTGGAATTTGATAGGCGAAGGAAGGGGACCTCACAGTTATCAACAGCCTTCTGGATGATCCCAACTTAACATCAAAGAAGTTTAACGATTGGAAACTAAAGAACTATGAGTTTTTCCTGGACATTTGTGAGTACAGTGCTGCTGTGAAATCTCAAAATGGAGCCTCTGAACTTGCAACCTCAGCACCAATGCTGACACATACACATTCGTTCATTGAAACTCACGTGTGACAGGACTCATATCCTGAATAATTGCTGGGTGCCATGAAAAACCGAATAAGACAAACACTGTAATGTTCATTGAAAATGTACTCAGCAGAACTGTAAATAAGTTGGATAAGAGAATAGTGCCACAGGATGCCTACTACATTGCATGATAAGACAATAATATTCTTTATGAATTTTTTTTTGTTTGCTATTATCAACCGATGTCCGTATCAAGCTCTGCATTAGAAAGAAGCAGTGCAGAAGTGTAACTGAAAATAAATACCAGTATATTTAAAGTACTGTACTAAAACTAAGCTTATAGTATGAGCTCCTACAATCATTTTATATATTTAGATATATATAAAGACATATCTATGTATATAAAATGTAACACGGTAGTTGACGTTTACTTTTAAAATGCCCTAAAGTTCACATTTTCACACATTTTTTTCTTGAGAAAAATATAAAATGAAAACATAAAGACATTGGCCACTCTTAGAGATGAACGTTTATTTTTGCAACATTTCCAGGTAGTGACCATCTTTGCAAATAAAAGGACAGAGTTATCAAAATGTAAACTCAATCCCTATAGTGTGCCTTAAAATGTACACTGTACATCTAGCAAATAGATCCCAATCTGGCCCTATGGGCATACTGTACATGCCATTTAGATACTGTGTTTGTTACATACTGTGCCTGCCTTTAAAATGAACGAACATAAGCAAGCAGGTATGGCACAGAGGTTAAGATACAAGTAGAACAACGTTGGTTGTTCACTAATGCTGCAACTTAAAACTGATTTTAATATGATTTGAGGTATTTCATGGTGAAAGAAAAACATCTGCGCTGAGTATGGTACCTACTGCGGGCTTTCATAGTTTCCTCACTGTGAATTTAAGTGACACGTGACTGTGAGTCACAAAATTCAAAAAAGCTCTGATGCTTCAAGGATGAGAATTAAGTTTAAAAAAATCCTGACCTAATCAATTAAATTCCATAATAGGCTGACATCTAGAGCTGAGTAAATTATTCAAAATTATATAATGTCTGGCAATAATTTTTAACTGTTAGTTGTACATTAGCAAGTGGTTGAAGTTATTCAATACATCATTTGAAAACCAATCTGTATTGATTGGTTTGGGAAGACACACAAGACACACAGTGTATTTCACTTCCTTGCCTGGATGAGAATGATTTCTAAGAATCAGATTTTGGAGAAAATACTTGTATTCATGGGGGGGGGGGATTGTTCTGAATGCTACTGAATATAAATTTCAAACACCCATTCACAATTTTCTGTGACTATGCTTGCTAGAATATCTCTAGAAAGCAGAACAAAGGGTATGTGAATACAGTTGACGTCATTGCACTTAAACACAGATATTCACTGATAATTTTTTCACAAGATAAACCTAGTTGTCTTTCATACATGAAGAACTGTAAAATTCATACAGTTCAACATAATATAGGAAAAAATGTTATCTCAATGAGGTCCTAGTACCCAAGAAAAGATTTAATTATTCACAAAGCCAGAGCTGGGTGAAGGTATCCCGTTTGTTTAGTTCAGTCTCCACAAAGCAGCTGTGGGGGGCTGACCTTGGCCAGCCACCAGATGCCCACCAAGACGCACTCACTCCCCCTCCTCAACAGGACAGGGGGAGAAAATACGGTGGAAAAGCTTGTGGGTTGAGATGAAGACAGGGAGATCACCTACCAATGATCGTCATGGGCAAAACAGACTTGACTCGGGGAAAACTAATTTAATCTATTGCCAATTGAAAATGCAGTTGCATAGTGAGAAACAAAGACAAAACTAAAAACACCTTTCATCCACCTCCCTCCTCCTTCCCAGGCTCAATTTCATTCCTTCGTTCCCAGCTTTTCTACCCCCCTCTCCCCTCAGTGGCACAGGGCGATGGGGAATGGGGATTGCAGTCAGACCATAATACTTCATCTCTGCTGTTCCTTCCTCACACTGTTTGCCTGCTCCAGCGTGGGGTCTCTCCCATGGGCTGCAGTTCTTCAAGAACTGCTCCAGTGTGGGTCTTTTCCATGGGGTACAGTCCTTCAGGAACAGACTGCTCCACCCTGGGCTGCAGTTTCTGCTAGAAAACCTTCTCCTGCGTGGGCTCCTTTCCATGGGCTGCAGGTTCTGCCAGGAGCCTGCTCCTGTGTGGGCTCTCCACGTGCTGCAGTTTCCTTCAGGAATCACCACCTGCTGAGGCGTGGGGTCCTCCACAGGCTGCAATATGGATATCTGCTCAGGCATGGTTCTCCATGGGCTGCAGGAGGACAACCTGCTTCACCATGGTCTTCTCTACAGGCTGCAGGGGAATTTCTGCTCTGGCACCTGGAGCACCTTCTCCCCTTCCTTCTTTGCTGATGTTGATGTATACGAAGTTGTTTCTCACATTTTTCTCACTCCTCTCTCAGCTGCTGTGCAGCGTTTTTACCCTTTCTTAAATAAGTTATCACAGTGGTGCCACCAGCCTCCCTGATGGGCTCAGCTTTGGCCAGCAGCGGGTCTGTTTTGGAGCCAGCTGGAACTGGCTGTGTCCAACATGGGAGCAGCCCCCCTGCTACCAAAACCTTGCCATGTAAACCCAATATAGCAGCTGGAAAAATACAATTCCGATTTGGTTTTTACTCTCATTTGCACTGGCATTTATTTGAACCACAGTAGAGGCAATGATTCAACAAATAGTAGTCTATAACAATATAAGATTTTATTAGTAGAGAAGTATTACTGACAGCTGTTTTGAGTTCTTTGCATCACACAGGCAATTGAGTCACAGCATCATTGCAACAAACGCACAACAACATTTGGATAGAACATACAACATGAAGGCATATTTGGCCTGCTTCAGCAAAGTAATCAACTCTCTGCTTAAGAATCACTGAAGTCAATGACTCCTTAAATGCACACATCAGAGCTTAATCATATTTCCATTGAAGTAAATAGCAAAACTCCAGTGACTTCAGAGGAGCAGGATCGTATATGTTTTGCCTGAATATTAAACATGCCCTTCACCCTCTGTCTAAGCACTGAGGTAATAAAAAAGATACGGGAAATATAGAACGACACTTTGCCACCACAGGTTTCACCAATATTGGAGTTGCAGTATTCATGCAAAACATAGAACTAAATTGAAATGTATTTACTATGTGAACATTGTAGTTACTTGACAACTGAATAGCAGAAGCATAAATAGAGAGAATTTGTCTAGCTTTTCATATCAGATCTCTTAAAGTTATGTATTTCACTATTTTTTAATACTATCCTTCATATAATGTGGGAGAAATATTATGCAGTGAAGCAAGCAATGGGGTAAATTATAGAAGCCATTTAGAAACCAATTCATGCTGTATGTGTAAGCAGTAATAGATGGTCACAGAATTAGTTAAATGGACTGAACCTTCTATATTCATAAAGAAATTTAAACATGCCTTTTGTTTCGAACCCAAAAGATGGTTTGTGCTTTCATAATAAAAACATCTATATGATTTCAAGATAGCTTTCAAAAAGGATTGTAACTCAAGACAGAAATTACAATTGTCCACTGAGCATATTCAGTGAAGTCCATAGTAAACAATGAAACAAGCTACTTCTCTTCTAAAATGCTACTTATAGATACAGCTGAAAATGACAAACATCATTAGGAAGATATATTTCTCAAAAATAACACAAATAGTAAGGAAAATAGACAATCTCAATTTTCTGAAAGTTAAAAAAATTATTTCTGAAATATGAGCAGATGAGATAAAAAGTGGAGAGATCATACTTTTGCTCAGCTTCTCTTTAAAATCTTTCATCTATTCTGAAATTCTCGGAGTCACGAGTCTGTATTCTGCTCTTGGAGAGCAGTTCTCATCAAATATGATTTGCACTGAATAGTCAAGATAAATTATCCATGAGATTCATAAGGTGAACTGAGACACACTGGAGAAATTTCCTATAATGGGGTTAAGATTAGCTGGGAGAAAAGTTTGAAAGATTTGTGTTTATGCCTTAGAGCAAGCAAAATCTAATTGTTAAATTAAGCAATACAAAGACTTATTCTTGCACAAACGTCAGCCGGCATTTGAAAGTCATTTCACAAGAATTTTGTCATACTTCTTGCATGTGTACTCAGCTCCATACCACAGCCCTTCCCTCCCCACCACCAGTTTCTTCCTTCTGGATCTAGGTACTAACCGAGCTATACTATAGAAAGTAACGTACAAAGTCACCATCGCACAATTATTTGGAATTTCACAATCTTTGAAGTAACTGGAATGCAAAGTGCAATACAGATATCATATTTAAAAATCCATGCACCAAATCCTGCTTACGTATTAAAATGTATCAAATTCTCCTGGACCAAAAGGTACTCTAAACACACTGTACAATGCAGCCGAAATTATTATGGTAGTTTTGATCAGACACTTTTAAATGAGGGGGAAAAAAAACCTTCTTTGCCATTGAGTTCATCAAGGGAAATATACAACACCAGTACAATACATTTATTAACTTACTAGATTTCCTGCCTGAATGCTTAGATAAAACTTTCTTCTTAACATACACAACACCACAAAGAGATTGTTTGGATGCGTTTTATTTATCCGGATCTTATTAAAGTTAGTGTCTGCATTCAGGATTCCTGCAGGCAAAATGTCCCTCAGTCAGCAGACCTTCTCTTTGACTCCACAAGCTTAGTCTTTTTGTTACTGGCTATTTTTTATTGTAACTGATTTAATGCTCCCCCTAAGCTACTGATTCCCCTCCTTTTTTAATACTATTCACTGAAATCTTGGATCTTTGAAAGCTATCTTAGTAGCTATCTCAGCAGCACTCCCTGAGAAAACTGGGACCTTTTTCTTGGTTTCATTAATTTAAGTGAAAACTTTCCTGAGCTTACTCTAATTAATATGAACAAGAAGTAATCAAAGGAGGAGGAGGAGGTTCTCATCAGTCTATATGTCCACATTCTTTAATACAAATGATGTAGAAATACTGGGCCCACACTCTGTGAGAGGACAGGTAG